CACATGCTTAACTTGGATAGTATAGTTTATAATGGACCACTAGAAACACCATGAGTCATGATGTTAGGTAGCTAATCTGCACTCTTAATGTAAGGAATCTTTCCCTTTCGGAGTCTAGGTTATCTTTAAACTTGTTCTTGTTAACCTCAATATGCTTTGCTTGATCTTGTTGTATTGGATTATTTGCAATTTCAAAAGCTATTATGTTATCATAAAAAAAGTATCTTTGGTTCCTTTGAACTATATCTAAGTTCATTTTAGAGGATTATTAACCATGTACTACAATAGTTGCATGATGAAGAGCATGATATTCAGCTTATGTGCTAATCGGTGATTCTTCATTTTGCTTGTTACTTCTTTGAGTTATCTAATTGCTTTTCCTACAAATGATACACATTATGGTATACATCCTTATCTAATATGGATCCAATTATGTCATAATCTATATAACTGAGTATCTATATGTTCACATGCATAGTATCTAGTTTCAGCCAAGAGATCTAATGTATACTTTTGTCGAGAGAAATACTTGTTACTTGGACCTAGACAATTCAATGCCCAAGAAGTATCTTAGAGTTTCCATGTCCTTTGTTTCAAATTCTTTAACTAGATAGTTCTAGCGCTTCTTTATCTCACCGGAGTTGCTAATTGTGAAAATTATGCCATGAACTTATAAAAATTCTTTTATAAGACATAGTGTGGTTTGCCAAGGCTTGTTTAAAACCATATTCTCTCATTATGTAGTTTGGTCCTCCAAATATGTTCTTGGTATTTTTTTAGCTTACTTAAGGCTTTCTTCATTTTGCATACTTTACGTTATGGTGTAAATCTAGGTGGAGGATTCATATGTTTCTTCCAATATATCACTATGTAGGAATGTATTCCTTACACCAAACTATCTTAATGGCCAGTTTGGATTAATCAAAAGAAATTTTATGACCACCAATATTCATCTTGGGCTTAGAAGCAAAGATCTCTTGATAGTCTATTTCATAGGTTTAGGTGTAACTTTTGGCAATCAATATGGCCTTGTATTAGCCAATGGTTCCATAAACCTTTTATTTTCAAAGTCCACTTACAACTCATTGTCTTCTTTTGGGGAGGTACTTCGACCATCTCCCAACTAGAGTTCTAGAGAGCTTTCATCTACCATAGAGATTTCCACTTAGGATATTCAAGGGCTTCCTATTAATGACTAAGAGTATTCACATAAGATAAGTAGAGGGAAAATTTTAGGTCGAGTCTTAGAAAAATGATGATAAGAGACAAAATCAAAATATAGGATAAGCAACATTGGAAGGTGATTTGGAGAACCCAACTTTTTAGTCTTATTTTGATCACAAAGTCGATATTTCTTGCCCATTTTGTGGATTCAAGATTACATAATCAATTCTTGGAGTTGAGGTTTTAGGTGAAGAAGTACGTATCTCATAGTTAATCTCAGAAGAGTCATTCGATGGTATGATAGTTTTATTAAGAGTGGTTTTAAATTTTGGAGGGGGCGTGATGCTAGCATAGGTGTGTCAATTTTTGACACGACCCTAAAACTCGACTTGAACCCGAATTTGGGTTGACCCGATAAAGAAACGGGTCGGGTTTGGGTCTTATCTTTGGACCCATTTATATTTCAGGTCGGGTTTGGGTCAACCTCGACAACCCAAGTTTGACCTGAATTGACCCGTTTGACTGCAGAGTTGCTACCGTCGACTTTTCGCTGCATGCCAAACCACACCACGCCCCTAGCAGGCCTAGCCTAGACCGACAAATGTGGAATGCCCTGCTCGAACTCATACGTCTAATCATTGGATGACAGTCACGACCTCACGGGCTTACAAGACACTTGACCACTTGCGCTCGATGCCTTGACCATTGTCCAGTTGCCAGTTGACCTCGACGACTTAGCTACTACGGCAAGATGCCAAGACCCACTTGCCGACTCGTGCTCGTCGACAGAACTGCAAGCGGTAAGGCCGCACTCATGAGTCGTGCTTGAGTAGTTGACTCGACCTCAACGATGGATTCAGACGGACAATGAAACTTAATTGGGTTCATGGGTTGGGTCAACCTGTAACCTGTGCGGGTCGGGTCCAGGTTGAAAATTCCGATCCATTTGTAAAATCGGGTTCGGTTTGGGTCAACCTGTTCATGCGCGGGTCAATTCAGGTTAGACCGGAATCTGACCTGTTGACCTGAATTGACACCCCTAGCTAGCATCATTATTTCTCCTTGCAACACATTTTTGAATTGGTTTATTGCCCTTTTCACTCCTCTCTTTAGGTTCGGATGCAACATCAATGTCTTTCACTCAGATAAAAATGTGGGAAAGGTATGGAACTTTTATTAAAGCTTGTTTTTATAAGTTAATAGGTTTTTAACATAAATGTAATTTTCACTCCTTAAACCAGAAAAAAGAAAATTATGAAACAGTTGAGGAAATGAACATTCTAATTAATGGAAAAATGGCTGACCTAACTGACAATTCTACAAAAGTATATTCTCTATTTAACGTTCTTTTTTGTTACTTGAAAATCATGTCCACACTTAGTTTTATCTCCCACCTCCCCTCGAAATAGTAAATAGCTCCCCTTTCCTTTCCAATGCGAAACATCGTCTTTGTAAGATTGTTCTGAAACACAATGATTAGAATGAAATTTTAGTGAGACGTTGGTTTTTTTCTTTTGAATGGCAAGGGCTGGAACCTCATAATGATATTTCGTTCCCATTGTAAGTTGTCTCTAGACTTCACGGTGTACCATTGAGTAGGTTTCTTCCATGCTTGGTAAAGGAATGGTAGCCAAAACGAGACAACTTGATCCAAATTTGTGATCAAGGCCTACAAGAAATATATAAACACGATCATCAACGAATTATTTTATTTTCTTCCCAATATTTGTTGGACTCATCATTGCGTTGGGCCTATGATAGTCAAACTCCATAATTATTGAATTTAACTCATTATAGTATTCTACAACAGTCAACTGGCCAACCATCTTGATGCAATTGAAAGGACTTTCAATTCATTTTGTAACGAAAAGTCAGAGCTGTCAAGATTGCTTCTGTTAGATGACATCTCAAGCATTCTTAGTTGTTTCACGCAACAAAAAATGTGATATCACATGGAATTTATAAGCATTTACTTTACAAGTGCAT